TGCCTATCAGTGATGTATCCACCCTGGCTTTGGGGTGCCTCTTTGTCTCTCTCTTTCTCTCTTTCTGTGTATTCTTGATATATATGAATCACCGTCAGGTATCCTCTCCTCGTGAACTGAACCCCAATGTCGAGGCGGGTCCCCGACAATGTTTAGCGTAAAAGAATATGAAAAGTTATTATTTTTTTAGAAATACCTGTCAAAGGATTTTTTCAGTTCCATATAGAAGAGCCAAGGGACTAGACATCAAAATCAGAAATCTATAAAGCTATCTTTTAAAGCTAAATACTCTTATGCCTAAATAAGAATATGGTTAAGTGGTATAGAAATTTACCCATATGCAAATTATGAATGACATAGTGAACACCCATATAGTGCTTATTCTCTGGCAGATGCTGTCTTGTAGTTGTTTTTGTTTAGTGCCATAGAGTTGGCTCCGACCCATAGAGACCCTGTATAGGGTTTCCAAGGAGCAACTGGTGAGTTTGAACCTCTGACCTTGTGGTTCAAACCAACCTTGCAGTCCAGTACTTTATCCCACATCTTAGGCACTGTAAATATAATCATATCAAGATTCTTAAATATCAGAGATACAGTATGAGATATTTTGATAGAATAATTCCTCCCCAAAATGTCATATCCTTACCCTAATCCCTAAAAACTGAATATGTTCATATGATAATTTACATGCAAAAGGAATGTTGCATATGCACTTAAAGATCTTGAGATTCGTATGTTAGCCTAGATTGCCTGGTGGTTATGTGCCGTGGAGTCAGTTCCAACTCATAGCGACCCTGCATAGGGCTTCCGAGGCTGTAAATCTTTACAGGAGCAGAAGGCCTCATCTTTCTTCTATTGGAAACGCTGGTAGTTTCAAACTGCTGACCTTGGGATTAGCAGCCTGATTAGTAAACACTTTGTTACCAGAGCTCCTTTAGATTAAAAAAAAAAAAAAAATCCCAAGAAACAAATACTTGTAATTACATTGGGTCCACTTAGGCCCAATGTAATTACAAGTATTTGTTTCTTGGTGTTTTTTTTTTTTTTTCCTTTCAGTCCTTTTTTTAAAAAAATCTTATTGTGCATTGAATGAAGGTTTACAGACAGGATCATCAGCTTTACATTCAACAAATCATATACTTTTTTCATCTCAATGATTACAATCTCCTCCATGTAACAACAGTTGTCTCACTTTCTCCTTGTGGTTCCCACTTGTATTCCACAGCCTTTCCTAGCCCTTCTCAACTTTGTCCTTAGAAAATGCTGCCCTTTTGATCCCAGAGGGAGCATACCTTGCCAGTGTTGTTTCCCCGCCACCCCCCACCTCCAAATAAATCTATCTACTGTTTGACTAAAACTTAGGCCACAAGTGTGAGTTCCTTTCCAGACTTAAAGGGTGGTTTGTAGGTCATAGTCTCAGGTTCCTCCAGTCTCTTATTGACCAGTAAATCCCATTTTTTAAAATTTAGTTCCACATTTTCTCCCACTCTATCTAGGACCTTCTAATGTGATCCTTTTCAGAACAGTTGGTAGTGGTAGCCGCTACCATCTAGTTCTTCTGGTCTCAGAGTCATGAAGACTGATGTCCACGTGTTCCATTAGTACATTAGACTAATTGATTCCAAGACTCTTCAATTCTTAACACTCTTCTTTCTTCCACACATGGACAGACCAACAGTTGTACCTTAGACTACTTCTCATAAACTTTCAAGATCCCAGACGCTACTTACCCAAAAAGGACTATGTTATGTCAATTGACCATGGTATCCCCTGAGACTCTTGTCCTGAGCCCC